TACCTTTAGTGCACCCACCAGCTCCAGGTTGGTTCCAGTGGGAAATCCTGTCCAACCAAATAGACCAGGTACTTTCAGCAGTTACTTGCCGGATCAGCATCATATTTAGGCGATTAATGATATTCCATAGCATAAAGACACAAATTATAACATGCAATTAATGGCAAGTTTAAACTGAGAACCCAAAAAGGCTGATTTTTCTGTTTAAGTGTAGAGCCATCGACGCACTCTCTTAATTGGCTAGTTTTTCATAACGGCTAATATGTGAGCCACCTACTCTGTGACGTATTACCTCCAGTGCAACTAGCGCGTCAATGCATGTAGCAGCTGCTATGCTACCGCATTGTCAATTTTCGACTTGGTTCCTTGCAATTTCTAAAGAGTCAGCTTTAGCTATATCAAGTGATGTTCCACGTTGGTGAGTTACCTTAACGCTTATCTCATTTTTGCCAGACTCAAGAAACCATCTTCTCAATTTGTTCCTCTCACATCTTTGCTTATGTTCGATTCATTTACAAATTCAGGTAGCATGCACTCCGCACAGTAGTAACATTCAGAAATTGTTCAAATGACTTACGGGGATAAGAAATGCAGGGAAATATCCATGCTAAACTCTCTGTTCTGTTCAGTGACTGAACGGCTTGTGGAGACACGGGTCGTGTAAATGTGTGTCCAAAGAGCGCGTTTTGGCCACGTGGTAAGATGTAGTGCAAAGGAGGTTTGAAAGAGCCTCTCGACCAGCTGTTGTTGAAGTCGGAACACTGCAGCCGACACAGTCTGTGCACCATCCACTGATGCCACTGCTGCAAATTGGAGAGTGCAAACGTGGTGTAAATGAAGGCGATGAGGTGGAATATGCGTCCATTGATCGTTGCTATTTTCGAGTTGACATATTCACGGGTCAAATAGTCCAGCGTAAGGTGATCCTTTTACTACACATGCAACTATTCTTAAAATATCCAGGAATTTTGAGAGGATCAAGTCCAAACAGCAACTTAACTTCCAGACGTCACTTGCTTTCACATTGCTTCATGATTCGTTTGACTGGGGTACAGCATATTTGAGGCGAATTTGACATGAGTTGTACACACAGAGGCAGTGCATTGGACTCGTTTATATTACCAATTTTTGATCTTATGCAGTTTAATGATTGGTACGTAACAAACGGTATCAGCAGGCAAGATAATTGATATCTATTCCAGTTAACACATTCAATTGGTGTTTTGTCATGTCATTAGTAGGGGACCTGTCACTTATCAGATGTCACTTATCAGATCCATGCTAATCAGTGAGTAAACAGTTTGTGGAGACACGGGTCGTGCAAATGTGTGTCCAAAGAGCGCGTTTTGGCCACGTGGTAAGATGTAGTGCAAAGGACGTTTGAAAAAGCATCTCGACGAGCTGTTGTTGAAGTCGGAAAACTGCAGCCCACACAGTCTGGGCACCACCTATTGAAGGCACTGCTGTGCATTAGAGGCAGTGCAAATGTTGTGTAAATAAAGGCGATGAGGTGGAATATGCGTCCCATTGATCATTGCTATTTTTGGGTTGACATATTTACGGGTCAAATAGTCCAGCGTAAGGTGATTCTTTTACTACACATGTGACTATTCCGGAAATATCCATTTCAATGCAGTTCAGGAATTTTGAGAGGATCAAGTCCAAACAGCAACTCAACTTCCAGACGTCACTCGCTTTCACATTGCACCGTGATTCGTTTGACTGTGGTACAGCTTAGTAGAGGCGAAATTGGCATGAGTTGTACAAACAGAGGCAGTGCATTGGGCTCGTTTATATTGCCAATTTTTAATCCTTTGCAGTTTAATAATTAGTACGCAGCAAGCGGTATCAGCAGGTGGTCGCATTGATATCCATTCCATTGCTGTGTCATCATATTAGTTAAACCAACGGAGCTTTTCGAAGTCATCGACGTTTACCTTCGCTTTACATATTCTCACACGGCATAAACTTAAAACACTTAATGCAAACACTTAAACTATGCGTTCCCGTTCTTAACTAGGAAGGCGTTATTTTTTCCGGATTACTGAATGGCAAATCGTGAGTAATGTTATTTTCAGGGGATCTTTCACTCATCAGATGTTTGCGTCGACAAGACGGCAGTTGCATTTTCATCGTGATAATAACACTTGGAGCAATGCTGTTTACCTTCAGTCATCACACCAAGCTTGAAATTGCCAAATCACGCACAAGCTCTTCATTGAAATCAGCAAAGTTCTTTGCCAAAGTCAAGTCTCCCACTCATCCACACTGTCTGCGATTCCGAGAGCGTTTTGCCATCGCAGTCAATCCCCATGCTGACATGGATATAGCGTTCACGTTGGCGGTGCACAAGGACGTTGGTCAGATTGCTCGACTCCTTCGAATGATTTACAGACAAAATAACTACTACTGCATTCATGCTGACAGCCGTGCAGACTGTTTATTCAGCAAGGCCCTACGTGGAGTTGCGACGTGTTTCGGTACAAATGTAGAATTAGTTCCACACGAAGAGCGAGTGGCAGTACATTGGGGTGACGAATCAGTCCTGATTCCACAAATTACCTGTGCCAAACAGGCGTTGAGGAGACACGTTACGTGGAAGTACCTGGTGAATTTGGTTGGGCAGGATTTCCCACTGCGAACCAACATGGAGCTGGTGGCTGCACTGAAGGCAATGGATCCAACCTCGTTGAGTCTTTCGAACTAGGCGGATTTGCGTGGCGAACAAATAAGATATCGCTGCCATTAAGGGTGAGTAACTAGCTAGTGCGTTTAGCATGTTATCTCCTCTCTAGGAATCTGCACGGCTTTTTTATTTAACAAAGAAGCAGTGAGTAAAGTTGAGTTTCTTAGATTGGGAATAACTCCTTGAAGTACAAACACGCCAGAGAAAGAGACGACGCACAATGTTGTCACATGCCGTCTTCACCAGCCTAAATCTACTTGGGCCATTACTCGGGCTATTTATTATATTTCAAATACGTAGCTATAACCATCGTCTGCATACTTCAACTACGTAAATTTGAAACAATCCAGTTTGGGAATGCTAATGTCGTTTAATTGCTCTCAGTTTAATTAAAATCGATAAACTATGTAGCAAATACGTAAATTTGTTGCAAGCCATCGTACGCTGAAGGGATGGTTGAAATCGGCAGAAGCGCATGAAGATCGTTTGTATATTTGCACATCATCATTTTATGGTGGGTAAAGGCATGCGATTTACGCAGTCGATGGGATTTGTCGGAATACGTAGTAAGAAAACATGCGGTTGGCAATTTCGCTGAAATAATAATGTAAAGCACTATGTATGATGTTAAAAGTCGAGTAGGAGTGTAGGATCGCAGTCACACTAAAACTGAGACATGCGACATTTGAATTCTTAGCCACATAGCTAAGCTTACGTTTCATATTGTAGGCAACATGGTACAAAGGCTCAATCTATGGTGCCTTCCGAAGGGAATTTCTGCACGAAGCAGTCACGGGAACAGCTGTCGGTCCCATTCGTGAACTCATGCTCAAGCCGAATTATATCAGGCATCCCGACGAGTTCTTATTCCCAACTCTCGCCTATAACAGCCAACTCCGCCTGCCTGGATCTTGTCTGCATAGTCCAGCACTCAGGTCTGAGGTAAACCTAAACTACTTAGCCAAGTTTGTCATTTGGAAAGACTACGGTATGACTTGTGCCACGAAGTACGTTCGAAGCGTTTGCATTCCTGGAATGGATCACGTGGCGTTGCTGCAGAATGTGCCACACATTTCTGCCAACAAGTTCCATGCTGACTACCAACCAGAGGCATATGATGCGATGGAGCAATGGTATTTTCGACGAGTCACAGCTGAAATAAAATCAGGCTCTTACAACAGGAGCTCATTTGATCCGAACATTTACGCCGAACGTTTGTGTTCACGATATCACATCTAGTTTCTTGTTTTTCTGTGTTTTTTATATTTGGAAGCTGACTTATATTGATCATTTTCTTGAATCAACTGATTAAGCACCATCATTTTTAGCAGAGGTATTGCCTGATTTCGCAAATGAAAAAGTAGTGTGTGTTACGTGTGTTATGTTGTGGACGCCATCGAGGACATTTGACATTGGAAGCACTAAATGCTGACGTTAGCATGAGTACGAAGCAAATGAGCCTAAGCACACATTTGTCAAGTTCTGGAGCTTGCAGGGGCTTGAGTTGTAGCGATACCTTACACCTTTTAAGTAAACAGCCCGCAGCAGCCCAAAAAAAAGCAAAAGAAGTGGCAGCGGAGGACACGATTTTATGAAAAGCGTCTGATAATAATAGTTCATGAAAAGGAGATAAGTCATTGTCACCGTCAGGTCACTAACCAGGGTTCATTCAGGCGCAATCGCTGTTTATTCGCTGGAAGCTTTTGATCATCAATCAGTGAACAGTGATAGCGGTATAGTTTTGAAGATACATTGACGAGTAGAACAATAAAGCCATAATGTCATTGGTAGTGCCCAAATTACAAGCTAGTCTCTTTAGAGTAAGAGAAACGCAATTAAGTTGAACATGCAGGAACGCAAAATAGGCTCAGATCTTGGTGGTGATTGAGCTGGCAATATCGCGCATGTTATACAAAGTTGATAGATTGACGTCAATTGATATCTGCTCTCCATGCTTGAATAAGTACAGTAAACACAAATAGGTGTGCTCAAGTCATGTCACGTTTAGTGCTAACAAGCTGAAAACGTCGGTGGAATTTCGTATGCGAAGGAAGGTCTTTTGGTGACCATTTTAACCAAATGGGCATATTACTCAAATCAAGCAACCAATGTCGATTTTGGATCTGCTGCATATAGTACATTGCTGGTCATGTCAAAGCAGTAACAAATGTTAGATATTAGTTGCCGATGTAGTTATGAGGACGCCTAACTCAATGGCACCTGCAGCCCAGTTATAAAAACGCAATGAAGAGGAGAATGTAAATAAATCGGCTTGATTTCTGCATTGACTACATCGTTGAATCCGTTGAAAGAGCTTTGCAGGTGTCGCTGCCATTATTCTGGACATTTGACAACTTTGGAAGAGATGGGCAACACGGATATTACATGACGGAAAAACTTCAGGATATTTGTTCTGCGTGTGTAGCAAATGGTGTCGATTACCGTGCATTGTGCCTGTCGTAGCAGTCTCAGTCACACGTCCAATTTTCTTGGTGTGGCCGTCAGCCATGCGGTACCGTTGGATCCTTTACCTCTGTGCATGTACCTACTTTGTCCAACTGACCATTCCCGCGTTTGTAGTAGCAATACCTCACCCAGACTGTACCTTTCAGTGACTAAATTTAATACTCACGTATCTGGCGTACACAACTCGGCTGAGCTATCTAGTAAAGGAAAGTGCTCAACCGTCTCTGGTCCTCGGCGTCTGTGCGGGTATCAGAGTAGCGTAATTGAGTTGGCTACAATGCGGTGGCAACTTGATACCTTTAAGAAACACACTGACCCATTAACAAATCTATATCTGCCCCCATTCTCCTACCGTCAACATCATCTGATGTACACGACGAGCACTCGAATGATATCCTAACCGCAAGTTCCTCTTAGCATCGCATTATCCAAATGTTTTTCGAAGCACCATATAAAATATTGACTTTGTGGCTCACTGGCAATTGCCTTATGGGGCGTGTCTCTGTGTGTGTGCGTGTGTGTACGACAAAGTAGCCACGCCAAGTGGCACATTCAAAGCCAACTCAAAGAAATGAAAATACTTTCGTGTGGGTGTGCATATCACTAGTCATGCACAGGGTATCTTCTAGCATATGCGGTGTTCCACCTTAGACGCGTCGCTAAGAGGAAAATTGATGCTAAACCTGTTGCCTGTTTCATTGCAGACAATTGGATCTGCTACAATTGATATAGTTAAGGCCACAAATTTGGTTTGCTTTAAAACCCTTTTTTGTCATTAATGACATGTTGACTTGGCGCGCCTGGAGACACGGCATAACAAATAATCTTATCTGAGCAGTTTGTTATTGCATGTTCTACTGCAGATAATTGGATCTTTACAACGGATCACACTGGACGATCACACAAACTGCCACAATGGCTATGGTCAAGGCAACACATTTCGTGTGCTTAATAACCACGTGTTTGTCTTATGTGTAACATGTTAGCCTGGCATTAGCCACAGACAACATCTAATTACTTATTTTAGAAAAGGCGTCTCTAAAGAAATGCCACAACAAGTAACCTTATCTGAGCTACGTTCACGCGTGTTTCGACGAAAGCAAAACGAACACAAACAAATCCTAAACACTCAGGCCTAGTCATCAATACAATGAGAGCGAATAGACACTAAGGCTGCCTGCAACTGGGATTGATAAAATATATGCCTTTGTAGTCGACTCCTCGTTAAACAGATGTTGTGTTTGGTGTAGCACAAAAATTTGCAGTTTGACCTGAGAGAACACAACAGCGTATAAGTAAAGTCTCATATTAACAATTTCGAACAAGAACAAGCACGATTTAGCACACTTGCTTTGAAGCAATGCTTGCCAGGTGCGTAGGCTGTCTCGATGCACAATCTAAACTACACTGACACTGCCTCTAAAGTTCTGACGAAGTAGGCTCTTGACGAGGTACTCGTCTACTTCCGCCGCCGTTGTTGCCACACACTTCACGTGAAGCGTTCAAATAAAACAGTTAGATGTGCTGCCAAACACTACGTGTAGTGGTACTCTATATCAACTGAATCACAACCTGAAGTGTTGGCGATTAACAGTGAAGTCTGCCACTTGTCGCAGTCTAATCAATTTCATAGGTGAAGATGCAGTCAGCCACTCACATTACGAATAAACCGTGGTAAAACAATTTCTTCTAAACCCTTTTGGCCAATCCCAGTACTTTTCTGCAAACTTGTTCCTTTGATGCCTCGCAAAACTGCTTCTCATGAGCCCTATTATTTAATTAATGTATTTTTCTACATGTCCACTTGAGCCTCACAAGTAGGGCCCACTTTCGTAATGCAGGCAATTGTCTAAGCATATAATTTATGGCTATGCAGGAGGGCAGTGAATTTTCACACGAAGAAACACGAACACAACCTGTTTATTTGGTTTTGCCAAGTGGTACAGTGAATTGAATTGTCACTATTCATACTTTAACTCAAATGTTATTTGGCTTTCATGCAAAGATGAAAGACACCCACGTACACGCAATTTCTGTCCTAGGCTAAATAAATACAGGCATCTTTTTATAATCTAGGAACACGTCATTACTACAAAAGTAGCATATGCTGACTATTCATTTGTAAGCAGAAGTGACGTCCAACAAGCAAGTTATTGCGTGGCTAACGAATCCGTAGGAATTACATTGTGCAAAATTGCATTGCTACGGAAAGCTGACTTCACAACACTGCCACATTTGATGTTACGAATAAACAAGTATTAAAACCAATTGCATTGATCAAAAAATTGCATTCCTACAGAAAGCTGATTTCACAGCACTGCAACCCTCGATGTTCTGACTAAACAAATATTAGGAACAATTGCATTTTTCAAAAAGCAATTTGCTGCTTTTCGTAAATCTACAAACAGAAACCAATAATAATTTCAAGTGGTGTGACTTCAAGACTCATTCCGGTAAAGAATACCACAATTGGTATTTCGAAGTGAACAGTGGAGATTCTTGAAATGTGCCTAGGTTGTTGGTACGCATGCTTGTTTTTGTGCAACCAAGGCATTCGTTTAAACAGATCACACCAAACGATGACGCGAACTGTAACTACGTTGGCGTTGTTAGGTGAAAATTACCCAGTTCTTATAACTTGCGTGCAGACACCATTAATTGGAACTTGGCCGAGCAGTGGCTGCAAGCTGCATCGCATTTAGAATTTATGGGAAGGCGTCGTTAATGATTGCACGTCAGTGACAAAAATGCACCGTTGTTGTGCATTGTGCAGATTGGCGTCCATTAAACCTGTCGTCGTGCCGTGTTCCCAAGGGAGCTGTCTGTGAGTCGGGTTCAGGTAATCAGCACGGTCACTTTACACAGCATCCACGTTTCTTTTCGTCCTAACCACATGAACTTGTGCGTTTCGATAGCTAGATTTGTTGAGAACGTGCTGCCAGATTCCAGTAGATTCATTCACGTGTGTTAGCTAGCACTCAATCTAACATCTTCTGATTGATCTTTGGAATTGCGAGGAGTATCTTCAGCCTCTCAATGAACACAGTTTAATTATAAATTTACTTAATTGCATGTTGGACATTTCAGAACTCGAATTTGCAGGTCACAGCATTTCGGCTGCAGGCATTATTCCTTTCTAATTTAAAATCACTTGCAGTCGCGAAGACACCAGAACCAACGTCTCTTAATCAACTCCACCACACGTCGGGCATTCCTAACCTCTAGCGTCGATTTCTATTCAACGCCGCTCATAACCTACTGCCTGTGACCAATCTATTCAAATGTGGAAATACAAACATGTCCGCAACGAACTTGACTTTAATATATTTCACAGCACTAACGAGTTTCTGTTGAAGACTGCCACGCCTGTTTACTAGCAGTTAGACGACATTCACTCCCTGTTCATCAATGCCGCCAACTGTGCAATTGGCACTGTTTTAAAACAAACCCCTTGATGAGTAACGCAGTTACTAGCTTACAAACGACATGCATCACACATTCACCTCAATGTCAAAGCGCCAAAAGTTCTTAACAGATTTTAAGGTCGTGCCCAAACACGGCAACGTAAATCAACGAAGTGGGCGGGCAAACTCTACATGTGACTCTTAATTAACTGTGATAGTTAAGAGCGGTGACAAAACAATGG